TCAGTACTTTCATAGGCACATCAATGTCCATGTTCACTTGAAAATACATGTAAAACAGACTACAGAATAGCCAGGAAGCACATTACATAATGTATATGAAATAAAAAATGAAGACTATGCTGTTGTAGATTCCATAAAAAATTGATATTACAGTAATCAATTCAATAAAAAGGCAAGATTAATTAAACAAAATGAAGAAAAGAGATTCCTTTCAAATATTAAACATGTAAATAAGACAGGACTGTAAAGATTTATATGGTTTCTATGCATAATAGAAAGAAAGAAAAGAAAAACAAACACCTTTACATCATTGATTTTCCCAGATGAAAAACTTTGATATATGTACACAATATCTACATTTCTTATTACTGATGAAATCCTGAACAACAAGAAGCACTGATGAAGCTTTCTTTTATGTGGAAACATTTTCAGACTTTGTACTTAATCTAATATTGCAAGAAATGTCATTTTTCATAATTGAGGTAATTATCTCCAATGAAGAAAGTGATACCTATGTTCTGATCCCATAAAATACAAACAATGTCTAAATGGAAACAAGAGACTATGAAACATTTACATCATTAACAAACAAGGCTCTCAGATTAGATTTGTGAACAAGCATGAAAAAAATTCTCTTACACACATGATTCAGATAAATGTAAAATTTGCTTCAAACATTCATACAAGTGGACAACTTTCAAACATTTAACTAATTATAGTGCTCTTAATCAATAAACTTATTTGCTGAATTACAAACATAATGAGAAAATTAAAAGTTATTTATTGACCTTGGCTGAATTCATCACTGGGAAACTGAACTTGAATTAACCAGGAGTTTCTCTTGCAGCCTTACACTGGTTTAATCATTGTTATTTCCCCTTGATTGATAAGGAAGGAAACTTGGCAGGGAAGATGTGAGTGTGCTATGAGTCTCCTCTATAATACACCCATTGGTTATCTGAAATTATAAAGTAAATTAACTTTCAATTTAAGGCATATATTTTAGCTTTCTTTTCTTTTAATTTATTCAGTATTTCTATTATTTGTGTGCTTGTTACCATCCTGTAACCTCTATGACCTCGAGATCACCTACAAAATTACAGCAAGGGAGAATAAAAACACCAACATGCAAACTAGAAATGTATATGTTTGTTTACCCCATTTTCTCCTGCTTACTCCCAGAGTCTGGATAATGTTTTTAGTTTTTTAAAGAATGAAACAGTAACTAAGGTAACAGTATGGTAGAATTATGGTGCAAGTTATAAAATAAACCCAACAGATAAATGCAGCATATAAAACCTATTGGTATACCCACCCCTTTCAATGAAAGTATTCAGATCATTTGCATCAGTTCTTATTCAAAGGATTTATTTATTATTCAAAAAGAGTCTTATTAACAAATTCTTAAAGTTTTCTTATCTTTCACTTATGTGTGCAACTTTATTGACTGTTTATTATGGCTGGAACCAACCACCCCATTACAGAAGTAACAGACCTAAAGCAAATACCCACCCTGTGATTGGTAAGTCACCCAAGTTCAAACTATACCCACCCTGTGATTGGTAAGTCACCCAAGTTCAAACTATGATATGCCTTTCAAGCCATTTGATCCATGTACCAGTACCGGTCCCTGGGGTTTGGGGACCACTGCTTTAGACCACTCACTGGCCCCTCTTTCTGAATTAATCAGCTGCTTAGGTCATTTCTGAATGTTTGGTGTTTTTGGAGGAGACTAATACTCAGCTCCTAAACCATTTCACACCATCTGATTTAACACACTTTGTTATATTGATCTGCACCATATTTTAAAAATGGCCAATCGTTCTGGAGCAACAATATTGATCTAAAAATTAACCTGAACATGACTGCCTAATTTTCCAGTACATGTACTTGCATAAAAAAACAAAATTTCGAAATATATTGGATTTTTTTACATGCAATTAATTGATTAACTTTTATAATTAATTGAGTAATGAAAACTGGTTGCTGATGGGAACTATTAGTACTGCAAGAATTGGAAATGATGTACCCACTTTGTACTGTGCAAACTCACTTATAAGACAAGTCCAACAGCAAACTACAAAGACCCAGATCTGCCATCACATGTGCCATCAGATCTACGTATGTGCAACCTGATGGGTTCAATCAGTAGAACAAACAACATATACCCTGATCTGCAGGTGCATTATGCTATGGCAGATCAGTAGCCCTGTTGTTTGTAATTTGAGTCATAAGTTAGTAAAGACAGTACTTCCTATCAGAGGGCCATGAGTTTTCATACTCACTTTTATTGTCTGCTAACATGTGGTTCTCTCACAATACTTATAAGTTTGAACAAGATGATTATTTTTAATGAAGTAGTGACTCTTTTGTTGGCTCATTATAATCTCCTGGATTAAAAATACCAACTAAAGGATTAAACATCTACAGACAATTATATACAGTATCATCGCAAACATAAGTATAGTTAATGAAGATCTTTGTAGCAATTAATTATGATGTTTTGTTTTACTTAATTCATATTTCACAATCAATATGTGCATATATATATTCTAAAGTCCTAGGATGTTTTTGTTTTGCATTTTCTTTACTAAAATGCCCCTATCTGATGTGGTCAGTGTTCCAAAACTAACTTTTTATTTTGTTTGGAAACAGAAAAAAGGTAAAGCTCACCATATTCTCCGTCCATAATCTATTATTACACATTACACACTGATAACAACTGTTAAAATTTTGGTATAAGATAAAGGACTACTATTATTAAGGTAAATACAGTATCTGAATATTTAAATATAACTACTTATCTCTGTCAGTTTAATCTGTTGTTAGATATTGTAAAGAGTGTCTCTGATAGCAGAATGTATCTCCAAAATTTGATAAATCTATTCAGAGTATCTTGCCAGTGAAAACTGGAAAAGTAATATATAGTTTCCTTTAAAACTGTTGAACTGATTTTAATGCTACAACTCCAATGAGGGCAATAATTGTCCTAAACTGGGCAAATCATTCAGTTGGATCCAGGAATTTAATTATCAAATACCATTATCTGTAATGCTACAATAGGTGTGAAGACCAACTCCTACATCCAATATGAGACTATCAAAGGAAAATCGGCCATTGAATATAATTGAGATGACTAGAATGTGTGAATTTGCATGTCAGAGATGTTGACCCATCTATGAAAAATAAATATAAAGAAGGTTGGCTTACTGGAAAATTATAAACATAATAATCTGCATAAATTTAAATACTTTATACTTCAAATCACACATGGTAAATCCATTTTACCAAGAATGGTGATTGTCTACATCAAGTCTTCTGTTAAATCAAACTAAGATGACAAGTTGTGGATTGCTATTACATTTTTATTCCTGTATCTTAACACCTTTAATTATTCTGATATTTAGTCAGATTGATTTCATGGTCAAAAGGTTGTTTATTCAATTACCACTTTTAAATTTCCATTGTCTACATTCCAATTTGAGCCATTTTTTTTTCATTGACTTCAAAAAATGTACATGGTGACTGGAATTCCATATACTATTGAAAAAGTAACTACAATTTTCATAGTGTGCTATTGAGAGAGGCTCCAGATATGTAGGTTAAGGATGGTGTAAAACAAATTCAAGGTAGAATTAGTTCTCCATTAATTTTTCTTCATCAGGGCCCCTGGTGGCTGAGTGGTCTAAAGTGCTTGCCTTTACCAATCATCATTACATGAAGTACATTTGTCAGTGCATGTAATAACAGAGTGCTCTGGTGTGCACTCATAAGAATGGTATTTACACCCAGCAATGAATTTTGTCCCTGCTCTGGGTACATATTGCATCAAACATAGTACAAAATGAAATAAGATCTTTAAAAAAACTTGAAAACTAATCTGTTTCCAGTTTAATGTTCCCAAAATAGATCAGTCTGTTGGTCAGAATTTGATTCATTTTTTTTAATTCATTTCTTCCCCCTTTATTTACAAAAATAAATCACAGCTGCATGACCAAATTGATGCCTTTGAGAAAAGATTTTGTCTGCATTACTCAACAAACTGGATAAACTGTAAATCTTTGGATATGCATTGTCCTCCTGTTTTAAATCTCAGTCTGAACATAATTAGAGAATAGCATGCAAACTTGGCCATTATTGAATCAAGTTTTCTAATCAACATGCATTAGGTGCTTAAAGATACTGGGATATATAGCAAGTGCCACAATGAACATATTGTCTAATATTGATCTATGCTGAATCAAATCAAATCCAGATACATTGCAATGTTCAGCAAATATGGCATGTACCTTCTCTTCGTTCTGTTTATTTTGATAGCTTGAAAACACACTAAAAACCAGGGCTGTCTGAGAAACCAGAAAGTTTATTTTTCTTTTAGGTCTAAAAGTAATTGCTAAGTAAAAGCCTTGGATTAATAAGAATATTAATAAGAACATGATCATGTCATATAGCTATGCTATTTGATTTCACCTAAAATAGCATAATCAGTGTGTATTGCACTTTTGTAGATATACTGGAATAGGTCCTGTCTGTCCATCTTTGTGCCCATCCATGCCTTTGTAGAATACATCCATGTATCAGGTAGTTTCTATTGCCACCCAAGCCCCAAAGTGACTTCATGGTGCAAGCCAAAGATACAGTTTGATAAATGTAAAAATAAATTGCAGAAAAAGTTAGGAAAATAAATCTTTTTAAGTAAAAGATAAAATATAAAACATAAAATGCTAACAATCTGTACAATATATATTAAAAGAGATGTGATTATGTGATTATGATTTTTGACGTAGCTTTAACAACTTTTCAGTATTATAGGTACTAAGTCTGCAAAGTGGCAGTTTTGAGTCATGTCTAGCTTTCTGGGCATCATGCCCCAGACACATAGTGAGATGCCCCACCCAGTCACATTATCCTGACTCCAGGCCAACCAGTTCTAACACTAACATCTTAATGCTGAGCATGAAGCGAGGCAGCTGTTAGTATCATTTTTGTAAGTCTTTGGTATGACTCGACTGGGGATCAAACCCACGACCTCCCGCATCAGAGTCGGATGCTCTAACCAGTAGGCCAATGAAGCAGTTATTTAAAAAAGAAAGGCAAAAAATATAAAATCCTCAAAACATACAGTCAACTTTTTATGTACACAGCACTCTTTATAATAATCCTGAGTTTCTCTGGTGATAGATCATAACAGTTTCTTGAAACATTTCACTTCAAAAATTGACAAAATATGCTCCAGTGTTATTGAACAGTGGCATGGTGTGAACTACGGTGAAGGTCCACCCTTCAGAAAGTATGCACAAATCATGCAGTTGGCACAATAACACCTCAACTTTGATTTCTTCTATATGAGGGATGACGACAATGATGATGATAATAATAATAGTGTCTTTTTTATGTACAATATATACAACTCAATATGATAACATTATTCTGAAAGTCAAACAATGTTTTAAGCTTGTGATAAACAAGCATCAGTGTGAAATTAAAATATACTGTATTGAAAATTCATCTATAAAATAGATGTAAAGGCAGAGAATAACAGGATATATTTATATTACTTTAAATGTCATAACATTTATTCCAGTTAAGACATTGATTATAAGAAGAAATGCAAGGATCCTGCCTTATATCACTGGGAACAATGTTTCATATTGAAATTGAATTTCCTATCTCAAAAAGTAAGTTGTTAATAATAGAAAAAAATAATTGAGGTCCAAGGATAGAGCCCTGTGGTACTCCAAAATTAATAATTTTACTTTCAGAAACTTGTGACTAATTAGAGATGCTCTTGCACTCTATCAGTTACCAGTAAGTTAAGTAAACCAGTTGATGAGTTTTCATTACATTGATAGCTTTACAGTTTTTCAATCAAACTTTCATGGTCAACATAATCAAAAGCTTTATGAAAATCTATCATAACTAAGTGCCAACCATATCACCTTTCTCTAATGCATATAGCCATTTATCAATCAAGGAAATCAGTTTCATACAAGTGATTAAATTAAAAGCCTGACAGATTATCATGATAAGATTATAAATACTTCATGAATGAATCATGCACATGTTTTTTCTCTAGTTATCTGGATACATGATCTGCTGATTACTCCCTCCACTAACATTAATTTTCTGTTGTCCCCTCCCACTGGTCAAAGCTACATTATCAAAATTCTCAAGTACTTCAAATATATGTTTATTGTTCCCAGGAGACACTTGGTACCTGATGCTGAAAGATAAATGAAAATCTTTCTCACATTAGTACCTCAGAGTTGGCAACCCATTTTTCCCATGGAAAGCAAAAACAGATCTATACATCCAATATTTCAGTCTTTGGCCAACCATTTGATGATACTGAGTTTGGCGTTCTAAGTTTATTTTGTTGAGTTTTCATTTTACATTTTAATGAACATGATGAAAAGTTAATCCTGATTGGCTAAGTTAAACAAGGTGGGCTAAGCTAATCATGTTGGTGGGTGGGTTGGGTGGATTTTCCAGATGGAATTCAAGGTTTTAAGTAATCTCCCTCTCAAAATTAGTCAAAATTTCTGTAGAAAGCAAGGAGTTATCTCCAAAATTAGGAGAAAGTATGTTTTGATTAAAACTGTCCAGGGGACAGGTATCTGGAAATTGAGAACTTGCAAAGAGAGATTCAGCTTCATAGAAAAGGAAGTTAATCACAGAAAGCAAAAGGTTTGTCTCAATCACCTCAAATATGTTCATTGACATATATTTGTAATTAATTGTTGAATTTATACATTTTATATTAATATATAAATTTTCCATGAGTTTGGATTATGGTTTGCATGCATTGTCTCAAATGTTATATGACTGATGTGTTCTAAGGATTTCATGCATTACTTCTGATACAAATTGTGTGAATATGTGATTTTATCTGTATTAAATAATATATATCAAGTATGCAAGGATTAACAAGTAATGTAGTCAAGCCATGGAATGAAAGTCCATTAATTCATCTGTGTAATTTTGATCTCTTTTCAAATCAAGAAATCATGCAAGGCAACCAAATTAGTACAGTTAGTAATTGCAGCACATGGGGGGCAGTAATATTTACAAGAATATCTAGTTATGCTATGGTTCCAGTTAGGAATGTAGCAAGCAGATATAAAAAGATGTTAATTTTATGAGGATAGTGTTGTGTGTGTATCAGTTGCAAGCTCAGACCTTATTAGCTTTAATCTATTGAGTTACAATAGAATAATATCTTCCACAACAAGAATGGGAATATTGTTTGATGCCAGCTGAAAAGATAAACCAATCAAATATTTGGGATGCATTTTATTTATCTGAAATAAACATAGCTCCATATGTGGAAAGGATAACTGACAGCCAAGTATGACTGATGAGCTGGAAGAGGCTGATAGATTGATAGAAGAGGAAAAGGAATATGGCAACTCTGACCTATCACCAACATGGACTGAAGTAACCAGGTTATGCAGGTAATACCTTGCTAAACAAAATGAGTTTGATCATTCACTTGATCTATGATAACATTTATTTTATGAGTATAACAAAAGGGATATTTGCATTTCTTATAAATTTTGTAATTCTATTTCTAAGAGAAAGTGCAAATGTCTTGTTCAATTTCCTTTTATTTGCGCAAGTCATTCAACTGTTATATTTTACATACATGTACTAGGGTTTGTTTTCTATTCTGTATCATCCATTAATTTCATATTTTATGTCATTATTACTTGATCCAGAGATTTACTCCATTTTTGATCATCTCCAAGATAGCCAAATCAAAGGTGATATATAACAAGTAGGCAACCCTAACACCATCAGCTGCAGCACTTATAGACTTTAGTACTGGGACCACCATGAAGGATGTTGTACACTGTAGATGTGAAGGAGTTTTCACACAGTGAATTTCTATGTGTTGGCAAATAGAAATTATATTTTGCATTTATTATGGTAAGCATTTTTTAGACATATGATGTATTATTATAATCATGCAATGTCAGTGAATGAATATGTCATGAACAAGATCCATTTTTATGATCTGATATCCAAGCATACGTGTGCATACAGACATGCACATATATACACACGCTGTGTATATGACAGAGAGATGGTCACCCAAGAGGTGACAGATACACAATTTTGACTACTTTTGAGAAATTAAAAACTATTTAGTCTCCTGTGTATTATCATAATTAGTTTAGTGTTATCACAAATACACCAATTTTCCATTTACAAACAGTAGCTGGTCTGAAAGCCACAAAAATGGACATCTGACCAAATAAAAAACATGACTTTTGCATGTCAAAAGAACACTTTATGTATGCTATAGTGCCAGCCATTTGCTTGGGATAATTATTTTTAGATGTATCATTTCTGACAACCTGGCCTAGTTGTTGGAAGCCAAATGAAGTACCAAAGATATGTGTAAGAAGCAGTATCTAATTAGCAAGAAAAATGTGGAACTGTACAAGATCTGGCTTATATTTATTGCAGTCAAGGCTGAGTAGAAAATGATCAACTCTTGGCATTCAAAGACAACTCTGTATCCAGCAATGGGAAGCAAAGAATTTGACATCCTGTCATGATTCATTTGTTTAATTTGCTATAGCAGAGTTTTCTCCCTTAAATGCTCGTACTGCTCAAATATCTAATTTGGGAGGGTGAGGTGGAGGTAGTGGAGAATGTTCAAAAGAAATTAAGACCATATTTGATTTAACTTCAGCCATCTATTCAAACTAACCTTTCTTTAAAGGCGGAACAGTTAATCTGATTATAAACTACAGTACTAAAATTCTTGACATATCTGATACATGACTGAGATAATATATCTATGCACAGTAATTTTCATCTGCTCCTCTGAAATAAATAAATGTTTGACCAACAGAGAAATAATTCAATCAAAGTTAATAACCTTTGTGGAATATGGTACTTGAAAATAATGCAATGGTTTAATAAATCAACCATGCCCTACAAAATATATAGGAAATACCAACACATAGCTTATGTTGATATTTTGTTAAGGGTCTGCACCATTTGCTGCATAGAGCTTGCTACTGTCATGGTTCCTACTTATTCTCAACAACGTGGAGGGGTTGGGAAATAATCTTAGCTTGATGAATTTGTGCAAAATATTTGACACAAATCTTCAGTTACAAAATAGTACCAAACATTTTACAGAAGATGGGGTTATGTATGGGCTCTCATCAATTAGTTTAAGTGCTCACAATTAGGTAACTGGAGAGAAGTCTTCCCAAAGACCCACCATAATGTGACTGAACAAACCTGGTCTGGTCAAGATTCAAACCCAAGTACTATTGAGTACTGCATACAAATTACTGAGTTACAATAACTCTAATAAATAAGCTAAATAATAGACATAAAAATCTTCACTGACTAAATAGTGCCAAAATTTTTACATAAGTTGGGGTTATGTATGGGTTATCTATTAGATAGAGCACATCACAATTAGGTAACTGGAAAGAAGTCTTCCCAGAGACCATGGTGACTGATCAAACCTGGTCTGGTCCAGATTGAAACCCAAGTACTGAGTACTACATGCTAACAACTAACTTAAAACAGGTCTTTAAAAATTTGATAAAGAGTACATAACTGTTCAAATACACATATTAAAAGTGATACTACTGAAAATAAGACCCAGGATCTAATACTTTCACACATTATAGTGAAAATATTATCATGCTAAGCAAGTACAGCTTAAATCCCCTATAACTTTTTTGTTTAGTGAAAAATATGTAATTCATTTAACCTAAATACCATTCATTTTAGCCATTGATGAATCCTATTTATTTTGGTTTTAGAATTTCATTACTTTTAACCATCACTAAAACACTTAAATTAAAAATAATAATTCATATCAAAATGCATCAATACAAACTAATTTGAAATTGTGTAAGTTGGCAGATAACCTGTAAAAAGGAAATACAAAATGCCCCAAATTTTAATACCACCTTTTAGAAGCATAAATTAACACAATATTCAAACAACTAATGAAGAATCTGGTCCAAAAGATGTGAATCCATGTTACAAGTTGTCTCTAAGTGTAACACACTAGCTCTGCATTCCTAATCCTATATTG